AGCCGCGCCCTGGGCCGCCGGGCGCTCGGGCGCCGCCGCGGGCAGAGCCGCGGGCGCGGCGGCCCCTTTGTCTGCTTGTGTCGGCATGTGCGGGGTCGGGGCGCGTCCCCCCGCCGCCGCCTCCCGCCTCCCGCGTCCCGGGCCCCGCACCCGCGACCCTGGGGCGCTGGGGGACGTCGCTGGGCGAAACCCACCTCTTGGTAACCGCCCTTTCTCTGCAATTGCCCCGCTGTATTGATTCATTGTTGTGCAGCTTTCAAATGATAACCCCTCCCCTCCTCCTTGTCTAGGATCCTGCTGGGATTTTTGAGCTGGTGGAAGTGGTTGGAAATGGCACCTACGGACAAGTCTATAAGGTCGGTGTGGGGCGCCTTCTTTGTTTCCTGTGGCATGCTGAAACTTCTGGTCGGGGGACCAGAGGGGTGATAAACACGCTGCTGACTGGAGGCCACGCCACTTGGCCAAAGTTGGAAAAGGGGTTTCTCCTCGCAGGCCCTCTGTTTTCAAACAGTTTACATCCAGACTGGCCTTAAAAGACCTCATTTCCTGGCTTTGAGATAAGGAAATAAGCTACACTCTTAGGCATGCACTATAATAAAATAGGAAAGCATTCTTTTTTTTTTTTGCATAAGACAATCTTCATTTTCTTTGTTTTCCCCAAATCTGGCCTTCTGACTTCGTGTGTTAATTAAAATTCAGGATAGGCAGGTCTTGCCCATGATTATCCTAAACCAGTGCCTTGGCCTTCTTGAAAATTGTCATCGTGTTTCCTCGTTTGAATGCTTGCCAAGCTCTCAAGGTGCAGAGTTTGGTGTTACCTGGGACACTTTATAACTCTGTCATACATTCTACTAATGGATACATATTTTGGAGAAGCAGGGAGGGCATGTGTTTGGGCCACAGGAGCAGGAAGAATTGCAGTGTGAGGATTATAAAATCTGAATTCCAGGAATAACCTGTTTGACAGGTGTGTAATTGAAACAGAAATGAGGGAGAGTGAAGAGTAAAGATGTTGCCCAGCTTTCACACCCATCCCAGGCCTTTCTCTCTCTTTTATTTAACACTCACCCTCCGATGGCAAATGGAACTAACAAATCTGGAGACTATGAGTCTGCCCCGAGTAGCTGACACCTGATGTGACTAACAGTGCTGTTCATTTTGTCCGGTGCACATTCTAGAGATTATGAAAGAGCCTGTAGGTAATGGAGGCGCAGGCCTTGAACATTTGAAACAGAATGTTAATTTCTCCCTGTCGTGATTTGTTTCTTATACTAGACATTTTCTGAAAGTTATCTGCACTGGGGGTGTCTGCAGCTGTTAGAGTGGGTACAAGGTTGGAATAGAAAAAATATGAAGCAGGGCTTTGTGGTTCACCATGAAGAATTGTCATTGTCTCATTAAAAATGGGGGTGAGGGGGCAGGGAAGCTGACTGTAGACATTTTCTTAGGGCGAATTAAGTGTGGATCCTATTGTCTCTTTTCTACTTAATGAATAGGGTTTATCTGTCCCTTGAACGCCTCTCCCCAGCCCCAACTTTCCCTGGACTGGGCTGTGTACTGGCCGGTGGTCTGAACTTGAGTCTGTATTCTTAGGTGATCTCAAGTGAATTAGCCTGTGTTTTGTTGGTTAACTGTTGGGTCTGCAGCCAGATTTTTGAATTTGAAAGGAGCCCTGTTAGCTCAGCCTGCTGGCTCAACTGAATTTGGAAGCCTTTGGAAAATTTTGGAAAAGATTGTGTTGCAACTCACTGAGTGGCCTGGTAACTGGCTTAAAGACATTTGCCCCAGCCCCAGTGTTTGTTTAAACACCAGTTGTTTTTTTCTAACCCAGTTTTTCTGGCCAAATCTAAATGGTGAGTATACTCTTCCAAGTGAGTTAGCCAAAGCTTGTTTTTGACCTGGTTACACAGTAGTTGGATTGTATCTTCTTGGGTGAGCATGGATGTGAAGGGCAGTGAAGTAAACTATAAACTGACAGTCTGTTTTTCAACCACAAGAGAGAAGAAAGAATGAAACCTTTTAATATGTATTAATTGTTTTTAAGAGGTAGGAGTTCTTTTTGCTAGCTGGTTCATTAAGCTTTCCCCCTCCTCATTTCCTCTTTGGTTCTATCCCCTTTCTCCCAAGTTTTTGAAATAGATTTGCCGAGTACTACATTTGGGAAGTATTTGGGAAACGGACAGTGACACAGCTTTCTGACTGCAGAATCTGCAGTTGAGGAGAAATTCTGAAATTGTGTAAACCTAAGGCATTAAGAAATCTGTGCAAAAGCGGCATACAATCACGAACAAAACAGTGCCTGAGACTTTGCTCACCAGCAGTCCTGTTTTATCATTTTGGGAAATTTCAACATACACAAGGAGAGGGAGTAGATCGAACAGTTTAACAGTTATCAGCTCAAGACTAATCTGGTATCTGAGGTCTTCCTCCCCTCCATTATCTTAACCATTTCACCCATAAATACTTCAGGATGTACCTTTTTTTGTTTTTTTGATAAGCACAATGCCATTCTCACACCTGAAAAAGTAATTCCTTAGTACCAACTATTCACTGTTAACATTTTCCTGATTGTTTCATACATGTTTTCTTACTATCACAAGTTCTTTAATGTTTATAAACTGGTGCTGGGAAGTTTCGTCTTAGAGATTGGTGGAGATAGCAGAAACGGTTAACATTTCCGTTTTCTTCTCCCTTCAACTGTATAATTTCTAGAACCATTTACATTATGCATAGGAGTTTATTTAGGATTTTTGTTGGCATGATTTGTATATGGTGATTTCGGGATTAGATTATTAACACTAGCATTTGTTTATTGCTGCTAAACACCCATTAGTGTGAATAGCATCAGAGTTTGGAAAATATTTGTGACTAATTATAAAGAAGAATTTTTAAAAAAGCAATTTCAGGTAAAACATTTGTAAACTGAACAACCTGTAATCCTAATTTATTTCATTGTTATAGTTTCTATTTTTCATTTTTTTCTATAAACTATGACTCATTTTTTAGCCATAGTGGCTATTTTTTTTTGAGAAGACTGCACATGAGTGAGTAAAAAGAGCTGGAGTTTTCCGCGTTTTGATATATTCTGTGAAAATGGCTTTTTTGGAGGATGGTTTATAATTTTTTCTATCTCTGAAAAAAATAGTAAATAGTCTGGGTGTAGTTCAACAGTATATACCTTTATCTTAAAAAAGGAGTTGAAACGCAGGATATAGTATATGTAGACAAATTTATTTTTTGCCTGAGGTTTTTGAGGGCTCATAGGGAAGGATACTCATAAATTAAAACTTAAAAAAATTGTGAATATCTGTTTATAGGGTTTCATTCAGAATACCGTATGTTTATAAGAGCAGTGCCTATGGGATGATCTTGCGCATGTTGAATAAAAATAGTGAATTTTAATTATTTTCATCAAAGAGGGAAAGTGATAGTATGAAAAATCAAAACCAGAAATAATAAATCAAAATTTGTTTTTGTAGTACATTGGATTTTATTATTTTTAGTATTCATTCAACCATTTTTCATTTTTCTTGGGGTAACTTCTGTTATTTTTTATTTTGTGATCATACAGTGGGAAGTCAGGGAGCTTAGCATTCAGTGGGTGCAGTGTCTGGGATTAGGGCCACTCCAGGAGGGACTGAGCATCTTGACCCTGTCTGACCGTGTCCTTGGAGGTGGAGAAGTATACTCTAGGCCCAAAGATGGGAAGCAGAACCAACACTGAGAGTTTGCCACCATTAGGCACTTGTGCTAATGCTGTCCCTCTCATTTATTGAGGGAAGATGGGGAGTGGGGGGGTATGTGTGGCAGAAGGACTAAGGGTGACCTTTGGGAATGGGGGGAGGTTTAGGGCGCAGAGGGCATCTGGGGGAGAGGTTATCTGAGCAGGATTTGAGGAGGGACATCCTTCTTTTGAGAATTGAGGAGCCGCTGAAAGTTTTGTTGGGATTGGGGCTCCCTGGGAATAGGAGATTTGATCAAATGATGTTTCGGGAAAGGAGAAGGAAAGATGGTTGACCTAGGGCAGCAGTCCAGAAGAGAGGAGGTAAAGAGTGATGGCAGGGCGGTAGAGAAGAATCTGCTTGAGTGAATCTGCTGAGTTCACTCATCTGCAGGGTTTGGTGTGGCCCTTTAAAGGGGCACACTCACACTGCTTGCCCACGGGGCGGAAGGAGCTTTGGGATTTGTGAAAGTGCTAAAATTACTTTCCATTGCTCCCCAATAAAGTGCCATATAAATTGTGTAGCTTTAAAAATCATTAGTCTAACGTTTTGAAGTAAGCACTTAAACTGTTGTGAGGGATTCTCTAAACGTTAGCTTGTAAGTGTAGCATCTCTGGTGATGAAGACATCCAGTGGGGCAAAATGAATTTTGTAGCACCAGTTGTTTTCATTAGGAGGAGGGTTGGTCTGCCACTGAGTGGCATGTACAGACTTGTTCCTTGGAGCTGGAAGGATTCTGGACTCGGGTGAGGTGGGAGGGAACCGGCCTTGCTGAACACGTGTTGGTGTGTAGCTCTCTTAAGAAATAACAACCTCAAATTTCCAAAAACTCTGTTGGAACTAAACTAAATCAGGCACATCAGAAGCCTTACAGAACACCCAACCACCAGACAAAATCCTGCTGATAGTGGCTTTTTAATTCCTTATTTCTTGAAACTTTGTAATAAATAAAAGTTCATTTGCATAGCAGCAAACTTGTATTTTGCCTTTTTTTTTTAAAACCAATTTTGGATATATGTATATTTCTACATATTGACATAATCCATAAACAATATCTGGGGGCACTTTTGGTGCAGTGTTTATAGATTTTGGTGAACTGATCCTGGAAGAGTAAAGATGTTTTTTGAAATAATACATCCTACTTGTGAAATAATGCACCCCTGAACAGGTGTGCTAAGCCAAGGACTAATCATCTAAGGAGTTTCCAGGGAACTAAAAATATTATAAACTAAGTACATTTTAACTTAGAGATGGATGCTTTGACACGTGTATTTCATACCTGGTCTTTTATTTTGTTTCTTTGCTTTATTAGTAAATACTTGATTATTTACTTGGATATGAACAGCTGCATGAACCAAAGGAATTGGCTAGTCTTAGAGTGTCAGATGTTTTCCATCTCAGTTGTATGAAGTTTATGATGCCTGTGCTTCTTATTAGCATCAGTGCTTTCATTTTTCTGTATTCCAATCATTAAAAAAAGAAAAGGCATACAGCAGTAGACTCTTTAAATAAGTGTACAAGTGTCCCACTTTCAGACCCAGGAGGTCCAGGTACAGAAGCAGAACTGTTGACGAGACGGCAGCACTAGTATATGATGCCCTGGAAGGCCTACTCCCCATTGTGTGCACTGGTCT